AAAAGTTAATAAATTTTGAAGAATGTTCTATACATCTTCCACTTAGTACGTCTCCACACCGACAGACCACGTGACCCTCCTCATCCTCCTCTAGGATCCTGGATCTTTTCCTCCGAGGACTCTTCTGGAACGGCAACAAGATTGTCCAGCCCATCAATAAACCAAAGTGAATTCAGGTCAGAAAACAAAATTCATTCAGCAGGGAGATATTCAGGCATTCAGATACAAGGCAGGCCACCATCAGTTGGCAGGGGCAATTTCAGATTCCGTCCCTGGAAATTCACAGGGCACATATTTTATGTTACAGGAGAAAAACATGGCAAGGAACAGATTTTCAGGTGAGACACGCAAAGCGGCAAGGCAACAAAAAATTACAATTGTTTTTCTTTTTAAAGATTGGTTCACTGAATCTTACTTCAGGATTTCAGTGACCGTATTTTTTTTTGAAAGTGAAGGATTTCATATCTATCTATCTATCTATCTATCTATCTATCTATCTATCTATCAATCATAAAAAAAACCCCAACCTTGTGGCCAAACTAAAACACCCATCTTAAGAAATGTAGATTCAATCACTTGTTTGAGTATTGGATAAGAATTCATGTTTTAAAAATCATAAATAGCATATACATCACCTCTAGGCTGTCTCTGCTGAAGATTACAAATACTATCTTCAGCTTTTTTAAGAGTTACATATATAACACAGATCAGAAAACCTGCCCTACTTGGGTGGCAGACATCATGCATACCTGACTCTTTGAATTTTGTGTAGTAATTAGAAACTGTGTTGTATTGTTATATACCTGTATTTGTCCTAGTAATTGTGGAAAAGTGTGAGTGTGTTTGTAAGCATGAGACGTGCAATTGAGCATGAAGAGGGTGTGGATTTCGGATCTGCGGTTCTGTTATCCTGCGAGGGGTGCAGCCGGAGAAGGACGAAGCAATAGACTTGAGTGAGTGATTGATTGTATATTGTGTTAACAAAATAACTGAACCATGGCATCTAATCTGACTCATTTATTTAAAAGTAAAAGTATGAGTAATCTTGCTGCAAATGACAAAGTTCCGAAAACCGCTCCGTTAGGATGCTTGTTAGCACACTGGGGAGATTTGCAGGATGATTTGCGGAAGAGTCAGATGATTGAATACTGTAATCATTGGTGGCCTTTGTATACTCTGGATGATCAGGAAAAATGGCCCATGAATGGGACATTAAATTATAATACCATTTTTCAGTTAATTCTGTTTTGCAGAAGGGAGGGAAAATGGAGTGAGGTGCCATATGTTGATTTATTCTTTTATTTAAGGCAAAGGAAGGATTGGGAGAAGGAATGTAAGTTAATCAGTAGAGATAATTTAGTGATGGCTATGACTACGGACGGTAGAACGGTGAAGAAGTGTTGTTCAACATATGAGCTTGGAAAAGATTGTTTAAAGAAAAGAATTGCTTCTGCTGAAAAGGATGAAGGGCCTGAACTAGATACATCCCCTCCACAGAGAGAACGGCATCGGAGGAAGCAACATAGAGAGCAGGTAGAGGAACCTGAGAATAGTGGAATAGTGGATGTGGAGGAAGGGCCGTCTGAGGTCGTAATTCATACCCCTGTTTCTCGAAGAACTCGGCAGCAGGTACAAACAATAGCTCCCCTGAGGCAAGGAGTTGGCAATGATGGGCCGGTGTATGTGAAAGTGCCTTTTTCCGTGACGGATTTGATGGCTTGGAAGCAGGCAGCAGGAGTGTACAGAGAGGATCCTGAAAGAGTAGGCAGAGTAGTAGACACTAATCAGAACACAGAATCCAGATTGGAGTGATTTACAGGTAATTCTAGATAATTTGTTGGATGATACAGAAAAGCAGATGGTACTAAAAGCTGGCAAAGCTCAAGCAGAAACGGCTGTATTAAGTGGAACAACCGGTGGAACAATAGAGCAGAATTTTCCATCTGGGGATCTGCAATGGGATCCAAATAATGTGGAACACAGAAAAAGATTGAATCGGTACCAGAAATGGATTTCATATGGAGTTAGACATGCCATGCCTAAATCGTTGAATTGGTCTAAGTTATATGAGGTGAGACAAGATAAGAATGAATCTCCCTCAGCGTTTCTGGAAAGGTTGAAAGAAGCTGCCAGAAAATACACTGATTTGAGAGTGGAAACAGAGGCGGCTCAGATACAATTGGCTTTGATTTTTATGGGACAATCAGCACCAGATATAAGAAACAAACTCCAGAAACTTGAAGGAGAGGACTCAAGGAGTCTAAATAAAATGCTAAAAGCAGCATGGAAAGTATATAGTAACAGGGAAAAAGAGGAAAGGAAGACCAGAGAAAATAGATTGTTGGCTGTAATGACAGGGACAGCAGGCAGAGAAAGAGGCAGAGGAAGAGGACGAGGAATTGCTAGAAGGGGAGGATTTATGAACTATGGAAATCAGAATTTTAATACCCCCTTAGGAGTAAATCAGTGTGCCTGTTGTAAACAAGAAGGACATTGGAAGAAGGATTGTCCTAGAAGTAGAAATGCTCAGTAGGAAATAGCCAAATTGATGGATTTAGATGACTGAAGGGGACCAGAAGGGAACCCAGATGAGCCTCTGGTTGTAATTAAGCTGGGAGAAAGAGAAGTTAAATTTTTGGTAGATACAGGAGCAACATTTTCAGTATTAAATACTTGTAAAGGAAAAATTGGAACAAAACCAGCAAACATAATAGGAGCAACAGGGAAGGAGGAAAACAGGCCATTCCTGCAACCTCTGGATTTAAAATTTGGAAACAAAATAATTACACATGAATTTTTGTATGTACCAGAATGTCCGATACCCTTGTTAGGAAGAGCTTTGTTATCTAAACTAAATGCACAAATTGTTTTTGAGGAAGGGGAACTTTTCTTGAAAATACCTGAGTTGAAAACAGGAGAAATCCTGATGATACAAGAAAAGGTAAAGGAATAAGAAATCCCACCAGAGGTGGATTCTGCAGTGATTCCTACAATATGGGAAACAGATATTCCTGGCAAATCAAAATTGGCAGAGCCTGTAAAAATAGATTTGAAGGATGGTGCAGGGACAGTAAAAATTAAACAATATCCAATTAAACCAGAAGTTAGACGGGAATTGAAGAAACTAGTTGATAAATTTCTGAAGTACAAAATTTTAGAGGAATGTGAATCTGAATATAATACTCCTATTTTACCAATCAGAAAACCCGCGGGTGAATATAGGATAGTGCAAGACCTGAGATTGGTGAATCAAATAGTCAGGGACATATATCCTGTGGTGGCAAATCCCTATACATTGTTGACAGCACTGAAAGAAAATTATCAGTGGTTTACAGTGCTTGATTTAAAAGATGCTTTCTTTTGCATACCTTTGGAGAAGGAAAGCAGAAAATTGTTCGCTTTTGAATGGGAAAATCCACAGACAGGACGAAGGATGCAGCTGATATGGACAAGACTACCCCAAGGATTTAAAAATAGCCCGACAATTTTCGGAAACCAGTGAGCAAAAGAACTTGAAATTTGGAAGCAGAACCAACCAAGGCCTGGACATTTACTTTTACGGTATGTGGATGACATACTAATTACTACAGAAGAAAGATTTACCTGCATACAGGTAACAATAGACCTTTTGAATTTTCTGGGTCTGAATGGGTACAAAGTATCTTGGAAGAAAGCCCAAATAGCATGCCAGACTGTGATTTATCTGGGCTTTGAGATTCCAAAAGGACAGCGACAATTAGGAAAAGATCGTAAAGAAACTATTTGCAATATACCTGAGCCAAAAAACATTCATGAGCTCAGAGCATTCTTGGGAATGACCGGGTGGTGTCGTCTTTGGATTATGAATTATGGCCTAATAGCTAAACCATTGTACGAAGCCCAAAAGAATTTTCCTTTTGTATGGGGCCCCCAACAACAGAAGGCTTTCATAGAGTTAAAACGTGCCTTAATGTCTGCACCTGCTTTAGGACTTCCTGATTTAACCAAAGACTTTCAGCTGTTTGATCATGAAAGACAACGCCTGGCACTAGGTGTTCTGACTCAGAAGATGGGAAGCTGGAAACGACCTGTCGGATACTTCTCTAAACAGCTGGACACAGTGAGTAAAGGGTGGCCAAATTGCCTTCGAGCTATGGCTGCAACAGTGATGCTCATACAGGAAGCTCGGAAATTAACTTTGGGAAGAACAATAACAGTCTATGTCCCACACATGGTGATAACTGTTTTAGAACAAAAGGGGGGACATTGGTTATCTCCAAGCTGAATGATGAAGTAGTAATGCTAACAGAACAAGATGATGTGATTTTAAAAACAACTAACCTGGTAAACCCTGCAATCTTTTTAAGCTCTACACAGGAAGAAGGACAATTGGAACATGACTGTTTGGCTACAATCGAGTATGTTTACTCCAGTCGAGAAGATTTAAAGGATGTACCATTGGAGCGACCAGACTGGGAATTGTATACAGATGGCAGCAGCTTTATGGAGCAAGGAGTTCGATACGCTGGATATGCAGTAACAACAGACACCACAGTTATAGAAGCAAAGGCACTGACGAGTACCACATCAGCTCAAAAGGCAGAACTCATTGCTTTGATTCGAGCTTTAGAACTAAGTGAAAAGAAAAAAGTAAATATTTGGACAGATTCAAAGTATGTTTTTGGGGTAGTACATGTCCATGGAGCTTTGTGGAAGGAAAGGGGACTATTATCCTCTCAGGGATCAAATATTAAACATCAAAAGGAAATTTTACAATTATTACAGGCAGTTCAAAAACCAGATCAGGTAGCAATCATGCACTGTAAATCACACCAAATTGGAAATGCAAAAGAAATGATTGGAAACAATATGGCTGACCGAACAGCAAGGAAAATAGCAAAGGAACAAGCATTCCAAATGGCATTAATTCCCTCCAAACCAGTAACTCTTCCAAGGGAAAGGCCA